GAAAGAGTGCAGCAAGGCTTCGCTTCTAGTGGCATTTCGTACACAATAGTTCATGTGGTTCGGGAGTCACGAAGGAAGTCTGTGTTTTTTTTGTGTGTTGTAGATTCATTCTTGTGATTGAGAATGTCGGGAGATGGAGATAGTACGTAAAGTAAAGGATTACAACTTCTGGAAAAGATAAATCCTGAAGTTCTGAAGGTCTTGCTTAGGCTCATATAGGGAGCTAGCGCCTCAATAGATGTGACTGCCTCAACACGTGCTCCAATTCATGTGAAACTAGATCTCCCTCCCGTGGATCTGATGCTCAATGGACCAACCATCTATTTGAGTTGGTCTCGTCGGATCGAGGTTGATTTAGTAAGAAAGAGACTAGAAGAATACCTGACAGGATTCAAGCCAAAGAGTGAGAGTGCTGAAGGGGATAAATGGAGGACAACACATGCATTGATTTAGACTTGGCTATTCAATTTGGTGGTTCCATTGATTGCTACATCAATGGATTGCATTCATGCTACATCAATGGATTGCATTCAAAAGGTGAATGACATCCGGGCAAAAGTGGAGGGATCTATGTTGGAGCTGAGAACCACATGAGAGAGTTTCAGATTCAGCGCGAGATAGAAGCACTGGTTCAGAGTGATAGATCAATTCAGAAGTACTCTATAGACCCGAAGCGATTGTGGCAAGATCTTGATCACTTCTCACCTATATCAAGTTATGGTGATCTGGGGTGCATGAAGGGAGAAATCTTTGCACAGATGAGGACTATACAGTTTCTGACTCATCTAAACTTGGTCGTTGTTCAAAGGAGATCGGATCTCTTAGCTCAGGCGATTATTCCTACACTAGATGAGGTGATTGCTGAGATGATACAGGAGGAGAGTTGAATGAAACTACACTCTGAGTCGAGTGATTTTTTGGGTTCACAATCAGCATTGGCTGTTGCTAGTGTGGGTATGCTAGGTGTCCAGAGTGAGACTCGCAAGTGCTACAACAGTGGTGAAGTTAGCTATCTAAGTAGGGCATGTCCTAATCCGCCTAAGGAGAGAGAGACATGTGGATGTGAAAAGTGTGGAGGTTGTGATTGTGGTTGTGAGGTTCGGAAAGGTGGAAGAGGGGGCTATCGAGCAAAATCTGATGGTAGCAAAGGACAAGGGAAAGACAAAAGTGATCTTTACTAGTGAGAATCATGAGTGTCTAGAACTGTTAAAGAGAAAGCAGAAAACAGAAAGCGATGGAGCTAAGCATGTTTCAAATCATCGACATCAAGAGGTAACATTGTCACTTATGCTCGCTTCAGCAAAGGTACTGGTGACACGCTTGCTCTTGCCTCTATTTCCACCACAAAATTATCAGAATGGATCATAGAATCTGGTGCTTCTCGTCATGTGACAAGTACTTCTGGAGAGTTCTCTTATTCATATACTTATCTAACAATGCCAGAGAGAATACTGACTGTTGATAGTACAACGAAGTCTGTAACTGGGAAGGATTAGTGAGATGTATCAATCATATGACTTTGTCCAATGTTTTGCATACTCATTTTTTTCCAATAAATCTCATATTCATTGGTGTCATTAATCTCCAGTTAAAATGTATTTTTTCTTTTGGTATTTCTTAGGTAATCTTCCAAGAGAAAGGGATGGGTCGGACACTTGGAACTGGAACGCAGCAGGGCGAACTCTCGTAATTGGATCAAGAGGGGATGGACTCAGCTCTGACATTCATGATGGAAAGTGCTGCAGTAGGAGAATTTAGGAGAAACGTCGAGGAATGGTTACTGCTACATCACAGACGTATGTGACATTTTAGTCTTAACTTACTGAGTCGGTTGTATCCATCTATGTATGAAAATGCAAATAGGGAGAAATTGACGTATGATGCTTGTGATTTTGGCAAGCTCACTAGGAGCTCTTATGTCAGGTTTAGGAATAGGAGCTCCAATGTGTTGGATTTGATATATTCTGATGTATGGATACCTTGTCCTACTAGTTATAGGAATGGCTATTGATATTTTGTTACGTTTATTGATTGTTTTTCTTATGTTACCTGGTTATACTTCAAGAAATATAAGAGTGAGGTGGTTGCATGCTTTGAAGATTTTCATAAGACAATTCAGACTCAATATGATGAAGTTGTGAAGGCATTGCGATCTGATAATGAGACAGAATATATCAACAAAATATTTGAGGACTACCTGTCAGCTCAAAGGATACAACACCAAAACACATGCCTATACACAGAAGCGCACAATGAAATAGTAGAGAGGAAGAATCGACATCTTCTAAAGGTAACCCGAAGCATAATGATTGTAAAGAATGTGACACATCATTTATGGGGACAAGCAGTGTTGACAGTCGCTCAATTGATTAACAGGATCCTCTTAAGAGTGTTGGAGAGAAAATCTCCTTAGATATTGAGGAGACAATATTGGGATCCTTCAATTGAAAGTATTTGGATGTGTATGTTTTGTGAAAGACAACAGACCATCTGTAGGAATGTTAAATCTCAGAGCTGTAAAATGTGAGTTCATGGGTTATTTTGCTACTCAGAAGGGTTATGTCTGCTGGAGCCCGATTGAGAAACACTTTGTGAGGATGGATGTGTCATTCAAAGAGTCTGAACCATATTAGACTCGGGAGGTGAATTCACCCTTCAGAGACTCAGCAAACACTAATGATATGAGGCAATAGAGAGTGAGTAGCAGTGGTGATAGATTGGCGCAAATGAGAGCAATGTCATATCCTGTGATGTGCAATGAATCAAATGAGGAGACGAAAAATCAAGGAGACTAACCCTAGAGGCAGCGGGATCCAAACTGGAGGTGAGTTAAAGGTGTATGCACGGAGGAAGAAGCACATTGTGGAAACAGAATCCACAGTGCCAACAAGTCCCTGGTCTAGGTCTTCCTCAACTCTTGAAACACCTACACCATCCACCTTTAAATCAAAACTCACAGGTGATATTATTCCTCCTTTGTTCACCTCTATCCCCCCAATGTTAAGGAATACCTCCTGCAGCAATACAGGACATCCTCCTGATCGTTTTGAGTGAGGACTTGATATTTTGAACTTTACTTCTTATTTTAATATCTCACCTTCGCATGAAGCATTCATTGCATTATTGGACTCTATCTTTATACCCAAGAATTGACAGGTTGCTAAAGGGAATCCAAGTGGAAAGTGACAATGCATGAAGAGCTTGGAGCTCTTGATAAAAATCTAATATGGGAGATTGTACACTACCAGCAGGGAAGAAGACAGTTGGACGCATGCATATCTTCACAGTGAAACAAACTCCAGAAGAAAAGGTGGAGGGGTTCAAAGCACGACTAGTAGCAAAAAGGTACAATCAGATGTATGGCATTAACTGCGATGAAGATGAGCACGATTAAGACACAGACTTCTCTGTTGTGGATAGAATGTCCAACTAGAAGTGAAGAATGTTTTTCTTCATGGGGAGCAACTCGAGGAGGTATACATAAAGGGAGCAACTGGAGGAGGTATATATTTAGATACCACCAAGATTTAGTACATCCTAGACAGTAGGCAAAGTGTGAGCTCGGGAAGTCATTGTATGGCTTGAAGCAATCACCTTAAATCTGGTTTGACAAGTTCAAAATAGTGATGGTTGGCATGGTGTTCTTTTGGCAATATGAATATCACACTATCATACTTGTTGCATATGTGGATGACATAATTATCACTGATGATGATGAGACAGATATTGCTCAACTAAACAAAAGTTTGAGGAACCAATTTAAGGTAAAGGAATTGGGACAGCTCAGATACTTTCTTAGGATTGAAGTGGCCCATGGACCTGAGGTGATAGTCCTATCCCAAAGAAAGTATATAATGGATCTTCTCACAAAGACAGGTATGCGGGGTGTAAAACTGCAGTCTCTCCAATTGATCTGAAAGTCAAACTTAGTACAGAGGCAAGTGAATTGGTTGATCGTTGGAGATACCAAAGCCGGGTGGGCCGCCTAATCAATTTGTGATACACTTGACCCGATTTTTCTTTTGCAATAAGTGTGGTGAGCAGTTACATGTAGATCCAAGGAAATGTCATTTAGATGCAGTGTATCAGATTCTGAGGTATCTAAAGAATGCACTAGGGAAAAGGGTTGATATACAGGAAGAATGGGCATGTAGATATTGAGGGCTTTTGTAATTCTGACTAAACAAGTTGTGCTGATAACAAAATGATCCACATTAGGATACTACATGTTTCTAGGTGGCAACTTGGTTTCATGGAAGAGCAAGAAACAGTCAGTTGTAGCAAGATCAACAGCAAAGGCAGAATATAGGTCCATGACATTAGGATTTGCTAAGATGATGTGGCTAAAAAGCCTTGTTGGTTGAACTCAAAGTGCATCATGGAATTCAAATGAAGTTGTGGTGTGACAACAAGTTGGCAATCAACATTGATAACAACCCGGTGCGATATGATAGAACCAAACATGCGGAGATTAATAGGTTCTTCATCAAGAAAAAGTTGAATAACGGACTACTAGAGCTAAGTCATGTAGCCACTGGATAGCAAGTGACGGAATGCCTCATCAAAAAACTTAGCTCATTAGATTTGTATGGGTTATGTAACAAGATGGGCTTAATGAATATATTTTCCCCATCTTGAGGAGGAGTGTTGAGATTTGTATCTAATGTAGGATTTTACTTGTAAATAGATGAAGTCTAAGGATTTATTTGTAAATCTTGCAACTTGTAAGGCTCTATATAAGCCAATCAACAATGAAATGAATATGGTTTTTTCTTCATCATTAGTTTCTTTTTACATTAGTGCTAATTTTGTAAATAGTAAGGGTTTGAGTGTTGTGTATGTAATTATCCAATAAATTGGGTGTTTAAACTAATGGATTCACTATAGGAGGTATTGTTACCTCCATTCTCTTTCCACTTTCATCACTTCCCACAAATTTTAAGCCGGCGATTTCCAGTTTTCCTACCATATCTGGATTTACCTGCAGCAGAACAAATAATTCGATTAGAAGAAGCATGTCAACATGAGCCATTAATAATAAGTCTATGAAGCATATTTTTTATAATTTTAAGGAATATTTACATACACAATTCTTATGGATTTACATATCTAACACCTAAACATTTCATTATCTTAAAAATTGTAATTTTTTGTGGGCTTTTGCCATTATGTAGACAGAGCAATGTAGAATAGATAAAGTCATAATAAATGATTAATGTTACTATGTATTAAGCACAATTACGAACACTTATAAAATATTGAAATAAAATTTTAATTAAACAAACCCTTTTTATCCTCAAACTTGTAGAAGATGCATATGATATTATATGTTATTCATATTTTTTTATAGGAAACAATGACCTAATATTTGATCACATATTTTATATTAATAACTATAAGAGATATTTCTAAAGAGTAATGTCTACACACTATGATTATGTTGTTTCCTCCCATATTTCTTTCATGTATTTCATTTCAATCTTGTGCTCATGACAACAGGGTTAATAGCATACAAAATGCAGAATTCAAGGTAATTTTTGTATGTTATCCACAAGACTATTATTAAGACGATCAATTTCTGCACTAAGATTAATTTATGCAAGACAAATAAAAAGGCCTCACATCAATTTCAAAGGCTTATTATCATAGTAAATAATTGGGCTTAATCTAAATTTTATTTTTAATTTCTTCAAGAAATAGGTGGACCAGCTATATAAGATTTGGAGGAAAACTTTTAAATTTTAAATCCCTCTTTTAGAAGCTTTGCAATAAGCCCAAAATAAGGATAACCAATAACAATCAAAATTTTAATGCATTATTCATATTTGCAGAGATTATTTGGTAGACAATGTTGGGTAATGCCATTATAGTCTGTGAATTTCATTGAAAGGTTTTGGCATATGTATGTGTGCTTCCCTCATTTTCTACAACAATTCATGTATTATTTATCTCTCCATTGTTTCAAAATAATAATAATAATAATAATAATCCCTTGCAAAAATTTGTCAACAATGAACAAAGAGTTGGTGCTATCAGCTTTTGGATTGATATGTAAATCAACTACAGTTCAGATTTTTTAATACTAACATTTCATTCTTTTCTCTTATTTTTTGTTCTACTACATCCCCAACAACTTGCAAAAGTCTTAAACCACTTTAAACCCCACAAAATCAAAACATAATCCTACAAAATACATATAAGAAAATCATAACTTCTTAACCGCACATCTAAGTAATCTAAAATCGACATTATTGTATATAAAACATCCCAACTCTCTGATAAGAAGGGCCACACCTATTTCTATCAAAGAAAACCCAAACTGTTACATCCATAAAGTTTGTAATAGAAAACAATCTAAAAATTCTAAACTAATTAACATTTCCCCTAAGCTTTCCACCAAACCTAAAACTACTGAAAACCCTTACAATCTTCAAAACAGCTTTCTTCATCAATAACTAAAAAAAATCATTACCCACATATTTATATGAGTTTCATCTCTGCCACTAACCTCGTATCTGTGACGATGACGTTCATCCACAAATGAGGAGTTCCCATATCTACAAATTGATAGAAAGACAATTCTTTAGTCCATGAATTATACAAGAAATAACTGGATAAAGAAAGCACATCATAAACATGCAAAAACAACAAAAAAAGACAAGGAACAAACCACTCAATTCATGTGTATTTACATATCTAACACCTAAATTTAATTTTTTACATACATACAACCTTATGAATGTCATGATTTTTTTCGACAAGTTTTACGCTGGGCTGGCTGTCGATGACCTAACGCAACCCTCCATTTTTCACATCCGGGCTTGGGACCGGCAATGACAGTTTAAGTAGAGCTAAAACTGAATACATGGAATATAATTTTAGTAGTAATAGCTCTAGTGACAGAAGTGTAACTTTGGGTGATCAAATTATTAAAAGGTGTGAACGATTTAGATATCTTGGGTCTATTGTTCAAAACGATGGCGATATAGATGGGGTTGTTAATAGTAGAATTCAAGTTGGTTGGTTGAAGTGGAGGAATGTTTCGGGCCTTTTGTGTGATCGAAAAGTACCGCTTAGACTGAAAGGAAGATTTTATAAGACAGTGGTGAGACCTGCAATGTTATATGGCATTGAATGTTGGTCTTTAAAAGAGAAGCATAGTAATGAGTTAAGTATTGCCGAGATGAGAATCATTAGGTGGATGAGTGGCTTTACACTTTGAGACAAAATGCGAAATGAATATATCTGTGATAGGGTTAGTTTAGCTCTTGTGACGAACAAAATTAGAGAAAGCCATCTTAGATGGTTTGGTCACATTAAACGTCGACCATCTGGTGATCCGATTAGAACAGTAGATGTTTTACATTCGACTTGTGTTAAAAAAGGCAGAGGGAGACCTAGGAAGACTTGGGCTTATTGTATTAAAAATTAAAATTATCTTAATTTACTACTAGAATTAAATGAAAATAAGACACTAAATAGGACGCAATGGAGAAAAAGGATTCATGTAGCCGACCCCACGTAGTGGGATTAAGGCTTTGTTGTTGTTGTTGTATACAACCTTATGCATGAGAAGGTGCATTTCACTTCTTAAAAGATAAACATATGGTATTTCTGACGTGATATGAAATATTTGGGCAGTGCAAATGTAAAAGTAAAATTTAAGTGTCAGCTATGTAAATACATAGGAATTAGACATATATTCAATGCCCCAAAAACATAGGATAACAAAGATTATATTAACCAAGTTATGCTTTTTTTTTTCCTAACACTTAAAAGCTAAAAAAATGCCTAGGGAGTGGAGGAAGAGTATTTTAGTCCCCAAATTAAAGAATAAAGGGGATGCACAAGAGTGTGCAAATTATAGAGGAACTAAGTTGACGTGTCATACTTTAAAATTATCAGAGAGGGTAATTAAACATTGGTTAAGACGTGATACAAGGATTTCTCATAATCAGTACGGATTTATGTCGGGCAGGTCTACTATGAAAGCTATACATTTGTTGAGAGGTGTGATGGATAAGTATTGAGAAAATATAGTGGATCTACATATGATTTTTTATTGATTTAGAAAAAGCTTACGATAAGTTTTCAAAAGAATTCCTTTGGAGAGTTCTAGAGATGAAATGTGTTGATACGACTTATATTCAAGTCATTAAAGATATTTATATTAGAGTTATTACTTGTGTCTGAATAGAAGGATGATTGATCAAGTATTTTCCTATTTCAGTTTGACTACATCAAGGACCGGCTCTAAGCCCTTATCATTTTGCTTTAGTTATGGATGATCTTACTGGACATTACATGAGGATTTAACTTGGTGTATGCTTTTCGTTGATGGTATCCTTCTTGTGGATAAGACTAGAGAAAGAGCTCAGAAAAAACTTAAATAATGAAGGCCTACATTAGAGTTTAAAAACCATTGTTTAAGTAGATCAAAAACTAAATACATGGAATGCAACCTTAGTAGTAGTCGCTCTAAAGACAAAGTTGTAGCTATGAGTGATCAAGTCATTAAAAGGTGTGAAAGTTTTAGATATCTCGAGTCTATTATTCAAAGTGATGGTGATAAAGATGGTGATAAGGTGATAAAGATGGGGATGTTATTAGTAGAATTGAAGTTGATTGGTTGAAGTGGAGGAATGCATAGTGCCTGTTGTGTGATAGAAAAGTACTCTCATACCGAAAGGAAAAGTGTATAAAATGGTGGTGAAACCTGCAAAAATGGTGGTGAAACCTATAAAATGGTGGTGAAACCTGCAATGCTCTATGGCGTAGAATGTTAGCCTTTAAAAGAGAAGCACAAAACAAAGCTAAGATCTGTCGAGATGAGAATGCTTACTTACAGACAAGATGAGAAATGAATATATTTGTGATAGGGTTGGTGTAGCTCCAATGGTGGACAAGATTAGAGAGAGTCGTTTTAGATGGTTTGGCAACATTAAACGTCAACCATCTGATGATCCAGTTAGGAGAGTAGATGTTTTAGATTCGACTTATGTTAAAAAAGACAAGGTAGACCTGAAAAGGCTTAGACATATTTATAAAAATTGATCTTAATCTATTAAAATTAAATGAAAATATGATACTCAATAAAAGGCAATGGAGAAAAAGGATTCATAGAGCCAACCCAACTTAGTGGGATAAAGGCTTATGGTAATTGATGTTGTTGTCGTTATATAATTAGAATCAACTCAACTATATTCAATGGTGGAATGAGAGACAGAAAGAGCAAATCTTGCCCCTTCAACCCTTTGATTTGAGAAAAATTAGATTAGCCATATATAATACTAAAGGTTTACTCTCAAATTTTCTTGCAACAATGTATATTCTCAACGCATGCTCGCCCAAAGAATGTGATAAGCCCTTTCACCCCACCTAGGGAAGTAACTGAGCAAAGCTAACTTGTGAGCCGACAAAGGCTCAACTCGATAAGTGGCTTGATGAGCTAACAAGTCAAACTCAAGACAACTCCAACTAAATTTATTAGCTCATGAGTTGGCTCATTTAAAAAATATTATCATAAAATAAACTCAAAATATACTAAAATTCAAGAATTTCATCTTTAGACTTATTATAAAATGACAAATAAACACTAGTTTGAACTAATAAATAAGTTGGCCCGAATGCGTAGAATTAAGCTCGAGCTCGAGCTCTTACTGTGGCAATCCAAATTAGTAATGCATTGTAAACATACAGTTACATTTATCTACCAACATACAGCTTTGAAGAAATGCAAGTGGAATCTTGAAAGAAGGTTCTCCGCGAACCAAGTCTCATTGTGCTTCCCATGTGTGTTCTGGAACCCTATATTCCATCATACAAATAAGTTTTTTTTTTTTTTTTAACGATGAAGTATTGAATAAATAAGTCGAAAATATACCTCAGGCATGAAGAGCACAACAGGGTAAGGCGTATGAGGATCAAATTCCTCACTATTTGCTCTTCCCATCCCTAAAACCTATAAAGAATTCGGTCAACCTAAGCAATAATTAAAAATGCAGCAAAAATATATAGGAGAGAGTACATACAGATCTAGAAAACTCAATAACCGAAATTTGCATCCCCAAACATATACCAAGGTATGGAATATTATTCTCCCGAGCATATCTAGCAGCCAAAATCATTCCTGGCACTCCGCGGTCACCAAAACCACCAGGAACCAAAACGCATGAACAGCTCTGGTAAGTTAAACAAAAAATTTAGTAGCTTGCAGACCCGTCTGATTAATGTAGTGCATAAATTTGGAGCAAAAGTCCCTAATCAAGAGGCCTATTGATGTATGACCACAGGATAAAACGTTAGGATATTAAAATAAAATGATAGCACTTTTGAGGTGAAGGTGATTTCGCATATAATCAGAATTTAGAAATATGTATATAAATAACACATTATTTTTTATTTATGATAGGAGCCTTTGCATCATAAGAACAAAAATAAAATTGACATCATTTGAAATATTACAAAATCTTACTCTGAGGGTTTCCCATGCGGTATCATGTGCTTGTGGTGCCTAAATTAAAAAGAAATGGTTTAGAATTATGCATATTAAGAATAGGTACAGCCAAGAGAGTAATGTTAATATCCAATATCTGAGTACATAGATTAAGAAATACCAATTTCGCACTTTCTTCTTCAAGATCTGAAGCTGCGATCCATTGAACCGACGGTCTCAAAGAGCAAGCAACACAAGCATGTAAAAGAGCCTGCCAAATTTGTGATGTGAAAAGACAAAGAAATAATTCAATAGATTGATAAAATGATTTGATTCTTAATAAGCTTATTGAAGACTCTAGAAAGAGCTTGACACGGCGGCTATGGAGGACCAACCGGTCCTCAAAAAGAGGGGGGCCGCCGCTCCCCCCTTTGCCCCTTCCCCTCTCCCATCCCCTCTTTCCTTCTTAGCACCTTCCTAATATAAGTCTTTCCAAATCAAAAATATTTTTTATACCTCTTTCCTAAATTCTAATATCTGATTTTATTCTTCCTTCTTATTTTAAAAATCTTTCCTAAAATCTCTGATTTTATTCTCCTTTCTTATTTTAAAAGCATTTCCTAAAATCTAAAATATGATTTTATTATATTTCTTATTTTAAATATTACCTAAAATAAAGTCATAGTCTCATTATAAATAGAGGATGGCGTGCTTAAGTTAGGGGTCTTGTTTTTAATATCTGAATTCAAGTTTTAGCTTGCTATTTTCCCTTCGAGGATTGTATCCAACGTCGAGGTAGTGGTTCGGTTGTCCCTCGTCCGAGGTGGTCATCGTCTTTAAGGGTCCGAGTGGTTCTCCGGCTGTAGCAAGACTCATATGAGGCATTTATCTTACCATAATTTTGTTTCCCCACTGACATTTAAGAATTCAGCCATCATAGCCCCCTCTTCCACTGCTGTCAGGCACCTTCCTGCTCTAGTCCAGCCATCGCAGTCCTCCAACTTGTTGTCCAGCCCTTTCAGCCCCATCCCGATAGCCCATCAGCACCCCTACAGCAGCTACCTTGTGATCTCGGTCTTTCCCATCACTGTCAGTGCTTCCCCGCTCGCTATCCACCCTCTGATAGTACTGCAAACCTTCCCAGTTGTTGTCCTAATTCTTTCACAACAGCCCCCACCACTCACGCATTTACCGCACCACTGATCCAGCCTCCAATGACGTTTCTGCTTCTCTCCAGATGTGGTTAGACGTAGTTACTATCACCAACCTACTATCCTACTTCTTCCACAACAACCCCCACCTCTCTGGCCTTCACCGCAGCCACCAATCCAACCTCCCCTCATTGAACTCCCTCCTCATCAAGCGTGTTGTCTTCTTTGTTGAGTTATTAGTTTTAATCCTTTGTTTTGCACTTTTGTTTTATGTGTTGTCGTTCGTTATTTCGAGTCTTCATTGTAACATTGTTTTAAGTCAGTAGTAAATTGTGTCTTACATTGTAGCTTGAATTAACTCCAGAATCATTAAGTATCAAAGCTAGCCGAACCCTAGTCCCATCATAGGGTTTCTAGCATCCGCCCCCTACCAAATCCACCACACCAAATCTTTTTTCCTTTCTTTCATTTATTTTTTCTCCTTTCTTTGTTCCTTCTTTTCTTTCCTTCCACAAATCCCAAATCTTAACCATGTCACTAATGAGATAAATGTTCGAGCCTACCCGGGAGGAGATGCAACGAGAAATCCGCCGACGTCGGCAGTGGATTACGGACATAAAAGATGAAATCCAATGGGATGCTCCCATTGAACGTGATCTTAGAGGTTAAAGGATGGAACGAGAAGATATGAAAATGAAGCAAGAAAAACAACACCGGTTTCTGAGCGTGATCCAAATCTTTCAATGAATTCCAAACTTTTCCCATACGCCGCGATGATATATTTTTCCGCTATCTCTTGGGTTGGATATGAGTCTCAGCGCTTTCCTCCCTAACGTAACAGATATTTTCATTGTCACCATTTGGTTTGGATATGAGTCCCATAGCTTTACTTCTTAGTGTGACTGATATATTTTTCCGCTACCTCTTAGGTTGGATATGAGTCTCAGCGCTTTCCTCCCCAACTTAGCAGATACTTTCTTTGTCACCATTTGGGTTGGATATTACTCCTAGAGCATTCCTTCCTAGCGTGACTGATACATTTTCCCGCTACCACTTGGGTTGGGTATGAGTCTCGGCGCTTTCCTCTCCAACGTAGCAGATATTTTACTTGTCACCATTTGTGATAAATATGAGTCCCAGGGCTTTCCTTCCTAGTGTGACTGATATATTTTTCCGCAACCTCTTGGATTGGATATGAGTCTCGGCGCTTTACTCCACAACTTAGCAGATATTTTCCTTATCACCATTTGGTTTGAATATAGTTTTTTATTAGATAACTTAATTAAAAGAAATTAAAACTTAGCTTTAGCTTCAAAAGCCTTAGCACGCCTGTCGTCCTCCGCTACAATTCAGTTTGGCTTGGTTTATCCCATGCAAAGCCACTCCATCTCGTATTCCTTCATACGAAGCCTCATCTACTCGTTTATATTCTTCCACTACTTCAACCTTGAGTAAGAGACCACAGTCGTATTTGCGTTCAACTTTCCCACACCGTGCCCCCGCCTACTCAACGATGATTCTTTCTTTTGCTTCAATCGGATGCTTCATCTCCCTCATTGAGCCCTAGCATCTAGCCTCCTCTGTTCAACAATCGAAGACATTGTTGTTTGCAGACGTCGCCGCCTTCAACTGTGAGGAAGCCCTAGCTTGTGCTCGTCAATCCTCCTGCTTTTGTACGAATTGATCAACCCCCCGTGGTCAATAGTTCTCACTTAGAATCGGCGTCTACTGCAAAACCTCTTGATCTTGCCTCTACCTCCCTTTATAAGCATCAATTTATAGAACTAATCACCCCTTCACGTTCCTGACCGCTAACTTCGTCTTCCACTCTTTGACTACCTCATTTTCCTTGAAATGAGATGTTATAATCTTCCCCATTTAAAAAAAAATCATCCTCAAAAAAATTTATAAACAAGCCACAAGTCAAGCGGTCAACACTATTCATAAATTTCATGTGAAAACTCGGGGTCATGATGAAAAGTGAGCATTGTAAAAGGCTACTCAATTAGACTCCCCTCATCAACTGAAACATGATAATAAAATCTGGATAACAAAACTCAAATAAAGTAACATAACTAAAATGACACGCTTACTAAAGCAATAAAATATGCCAGGAAAACACCATTATATGTAAGAAAACACTAAACTCATCAAACTCTATCAACGTTAGCAGCAGGAGGTTCTTCAGGCTCCTATGAGTAAGGGAATAAACTCGAGGTCAAACAGGTTATCTTGGTTGAACTTGGGTAGAAGTTGAAGCTATAGATTGTATCCTTCTTTGCCCACATGCAGCCTTTTGTGAATGAGTTCCACCTATTTTCTGAAATTTAGTGCTCTTCTGACAAAGCGATGAACAATATCTTGCTACATGGCCAAGACAACACAGATGGTATTTGTTAGAGTTCATCAATCATTCACTCTTATGTTGTATGCAATATTTGATACAAGAGATTACAGTACTCTGAGTCATAACTCTATTAAATTCATTCGAATTGAACTTAGAATTTTTTCCATTGAATCCCTCTGAGTGATTCACATGCACTTATTCATCAATACTCTCTTGTGTGCATCCTTACGTTTCTGAGTAAACTAATAATCGATCTCCAATTTTCTAGCTCAATCCACTAATATTGAGTATTCATTGGTCCCCAAAGGCACAAACGGTTATCGGATCAAATCCTTTATTCCCAAAAGAAATTTGTCAAATATTTCTTTTGCAATAGCGATCAAAAGTGGTGCATACCTTGATAGTGCAGTAAATTTTGCTTCGTATTGTATGATTGTCTTCTCTCCCTGTACCAATCTAATAAATTTGCCTTCAAGCGGATAGGGGTAAGAACTACTTCAATACCTCCAGAAACTCCTCCCAACTTACCATCACGTTGTGTGTATACCTTAGTCGGTCCTGAGACTGTCAAATGTAGCTAATGACACTCTTCTTTCATCCGAACAAATCATACTATTTAATGCCTTGCAAATTCAGATCAATTGATTATCTGTTGCAATCGAATCTTGAGTTCTGTTAAATAATGGTGGACGTAGATCTTGGAACATGAAACCAATTTTGGTCAAGATTTGGGAGACCCACATCAATTTACTTGAAGCTTGAGTCATTGCTCGACACTAAGATTTAGCACTGGACCATGACACTGTATTTTGTTTCTTACTCTTTCATGAGATCAAACTACCATAAACAAAGATGCAATATTCAGTAAAGGATCTTCGATAAATACTAGAACTTGCTTAATCTACATCGAAAAAACATTCAATATTTTCATGCCCATAATCTTGATACAAAATATCTTGTCCAGGAGCTCCCTTGATGTAACATACTATTTGTTCTAAAGCTAATTGATGTGGATTGGTGAGGAAGACAAACTGACTTAGAATGCTAACTGAGCTCGCAATGTCAAGACAAGTTATTGTGAGATAGTTTAATTTTCTCTAATTTCCTGTATCGTTCTGAATCATTAAAAGGCTTTTCATCCTTAATACGTTGTTGATTAGGAAGCATCATTGTATTGCATGGTTTGACCCTTAATTGCTCAGTTTCTGCTAAGAAATCCAACACATACTTCCATTGAGATAGAATGATACCCTTCTTGCTCTGTAATACCCTCAATCCCCAAAAAGTACTTCGAGGAGCCGAGTTCTTTAGTGTTGAACTGATTTGGAAGAAAAAAAAATCAATGATAAGATTCTCTGTATATTGCTTCCAGTAATAATAATGTCAACATAAACCACCAAAGATGAATCCCGAAGCATATTGTTTATAGAATACAATGTGATTACTTCTATTTTTCAACATCCCAAACCATTCTATTGTTTGGCTAAATTTTTCAAACCATGCTCGAGAGGTTTTCTTCAATTCATATAAAGACTCCCGAAAGTGACATACTTTCTCAGACTCCCTCTAAGCAACAAACCTAAAAGGTTTATCTATGCATATATCTTCTAAAGATTACCATGCAAAAAAGCATTTTTCACATACAACTGGTTAAATGGCAAATTATTAATTGTGGTAAAGAACAGAAGCAGGTGAACCGAAGTAACAATCGACAAAAATGTGACCAAGTAGTCAATCCCATTAGTTTGAGCATAGCCCTTAGCAATCAACGGAACATTGATAAGAGCAACAGATCCATCAGAATGAAACTTAACTGCAAAAACCCACTTGTCAAAGGTAGTTCTACCAATTCCCCAAGTTCTATTTTCAATTAAGGCATTCAATTTAACGAGCAACACTGCTTGCCGCCCAGAATGGGATAGGGCTTGCTAAACAGATCATGAAACCTCAACAGAGTTAAGAGAAGGAAAAAAAGAGTAAGAAGTGGAAGATGGCTAATTATAGTTAACACGAGAAAATGGGATAGGCGCATTGGTGTTTACCTCTTCAAAGAGTAATAGGTAAATCAAAATCACTTAGAGGAGGATCCATTAAGAAAGATGGTATCGGTGTCAGACTATGATCAAGGGGACGATGACTGCTTGAGTAAACCTTTGTAAAAGGTGGTCTAGGCTGAGGCACTTGAGGTAAAGATGGAGTAAGATCTGAACTTATGATGTGATACATGAACAGCTTGTCATAATCTATGATGATTTAGATACCGTCGAGTCACCAAAGAATAGGGTTTCTTCGCAAAAAGTGACAACATTTTTTGTGACTCATTTAATGACTTAGGGGTCTTGTATAAAAAATTATGTACAAGTATCACAAACAAATAAGTACCCCAAATATGTAAGGTTCCAGAGAAAAGAGAGAATTAGTAGATATAAACTTGATAGGGTCTTTGATTTTGTAGAACAATTAAAAACATTTGATTGATCAAAAAACATGCAGTAGAGTTAAATGTTAATATCGTCCAACCGCAGCTCCTGAATTGGTTAATTCTAAGCTATAAGATCAGGTTGTGACACTTCCAATTTTTTTAGCTTAATATTAATACAATGACGAGAGTCCAAGAAATCCAAACCTCACATGAGTAGGTGATGAAGGAACTTGTCAATAAGGATACAAAGTATCAAAAATAGACTAACAAATCTCGAAAAGTTAATGATACTTAACAAATATGACTTTTCATGGATCAAACTGAAAGAGAGATTTTCTTCAGTTTTTTTTGGGAAGCTCAAGTCTTGAGCTGATGGCTCATTAAGATTGTTAAGAAGATTAATGATAATAAAAATATCATTAATTGCTTTGCTTTGTTTTGATAGTAAAAATATTATTCAAACCTTGTTTTAGACTTTTGTTAGGTTTGAGCATTTAGATATTGTTGTCTCTAAATTTTCTAACCTAAGAAGCATTGTATCATCTTCCAATATTGTGCCATAGCTTGTTCGGGAATAGGCGGCGAATCCCCCTTGATATTCTCACACAGCTGATATGGTCATCGGTTGGTTTCCCTACAGTTTTCCCTACCTGACAACAGCTAGAGCCCTTTCCCCTTTTCAAGCCTTATTGTTTTCTCATATTCTTCTCTTCTTGTCATTCCATAACAATCCCAACACATGTATCAATCCTATTATGCATTCTAGGAATGCTAGAACAGTATTCGTGTGCATGTAGTTAAGCCCTAATTATAATTGCAGTATTTGCAAAAAAGTGCACTTTTTTAGTGGTTACTACAACTATGCTTCAAATGAGAAGAGTGTAAATTAAAATTACAAAGAATGATAACCAAAAAAATCAAAAGATAAACTAACTCAAACTGTTCGGAAATGATCTATAGTTGAATGATACTTTTTGTGGAAGCTTCTTTATCAAGCTTCAAAAACAAAGGCTAAAAACTAAATATTGAACAAACTCTGGGAAACCAAAATTTGTGAAGCCATTCACAGCAGTCCCAATACCTTAACAACAGATAGGTAAGAATCCTTCAGTCCAGTATACTTCCCGACCATAGCAATTTTAACCTACGTAAAAAAAAATAAAAAATAAATAAACTTGAAGAATAAATTATAAAAGAATGTTAAGGATTTTAGCAATACTTACAGAATTAGTGAGGTTGTCATATGACTCTGCCATATTTGTCCAGTTCTGAAGATCTGGGGCGCTAGCAATGCTAAAGCACAACTTACAACTTCTTATTCATTTCAGGATGTTAATTAAATAAGTGCCACAAATAGTAGAAGATTCATATAATGGAAAATGGGATAAGTGCCACAAATAGTAAAGATCCTTACCTGAGATAATTTAGCTGCTTTAAGATAGCTTTATGAGCATTTTGTTTCTAGATAGAGAATGCAAAGTTCAACTATCAAATTTAAAATCAGGTAGGAATTACTAATGTAACTTCAAACTTCAGAATAGAACACCATACTCACCCTAAGTATTAGTGGAACATGCCAGATGTTTGGAACGTCATGGATATTGAGAATGTTAGAAACCTAACAAAGTTAAACAAAACAATTTGAGTGAAGAAATGCAAATAAAAATTTTATATCAGTTTAATTAGAATAAGAGCTCACCGGTACGTGACAAAATTGAGATAGTTTTTCCTTTGTACCTTCCGTTAAAGGCTGAGAAAGAAAGAGGAAAATACAAATAAAGCAAGAAGCAATTGCTTCCATAAATGTGAAATACATTTTGTTAATTATGGAACATTCACTCAAAGAAAATAAACAGTATAGTACATAAAACAAGGATAAATATCAAGTAATCCAACTCTGATTTTAGACATGATATTTTCAGAGTATTATGAACATTTTCAATATTTGCCAAGTCTTTTTCTTTTGGGTCATTTTACATCTTTGGAATATAATGACCTTGTGGTTAATTTGTGAGTGTTGATTTAGTCCATGTCATTACATCCGTTAACAACTCCTTATTTCTGCGATAGATAACTAGAGGAACTCTGTGACAAAGAACAAGTTTCCAAATACAACAACTATATCACACCCCAATTGGCCCCCCTTTAAGAGTCGGTTATACAACAACAATGTCACAACCCAATTGGCCCCCCTTTAAGAGTCGGTTAAGGTGTGACAAAGGCTGTTAAATTGGTCAGACTACCTCTCACCAGCACTAGTGCTGACTTTTATAATCAGGACTCGGTGGGTGTGAGTTAGTCTAACTAGGTAGCCGCAACATATATGATACAATGCATTCCATATTCATTCATATACATACACGGAAGCATGAAAATCATATCTGAAACATGAAAACTATACAAAGCCGCTAAATCTAATATAATAAAAATGCGTACCCAAAAAATATGCACAAAACTCCCAAAACTATCACGCAAAAGTTATACAAAGACACATCTGGCTACTCGTCCCGGTACTCACTCCCGCTACTTGAAAGGTAAAAACAAAAAATGAGCTATAAAAAACTCAAAGAAATTTTATAGATGAAAAAGAAATAAAGTGCATGCTCGTCGAAAACTGTACATGTTTACACACAAGTAATAACATGCTAGCATGGTAGAGAACATGAAAACAGAGCATGTAGTATAAAAATCAAGATTGCAGTGTAACATGTAGATCGTTAAGTATGGAATCATAAGGATAATTAAAAACATATTCATAAGAATGTTCGTAGGTTGTTTCTTGAATGTAATCATAGCAATGACATTTCATAGAGGTCGTTTCATAATAATGTCGCTTATTTATTATATAGGGCTTAACTATTTTCATGTCCTTTCATATCATGGGCTGTCACCCTGACCCAAAGGTCATATAAACTATTGATAAATATTAAGCTTCCCCCAAACATAGCAGTTATCGACATCCCCTACAAGCATGATTCTCTAACGTTCTATCACCGCCGAATCCCAACGGTTCACAGAGTTTCATCCTCATTTAAATATGAGCAGTCGGGAATACTATATCTCTGCATAGTGTACTTGCAAACACTCATGTAATAGTTTACCCATGACGTTTCTCGTGACATTTCTTAAAACATAATACTTATAGCATATGTTAATGGACATTACATAAATATGTATGAACCATAAATGAATATATGCAGTGATCATAACATGGCATAGCATAATATCACATATACATTAAAAGCAGTTAACTTACATTCATACATTTCAAGCAGTAACTCATCTGCAGTATGCAAGAATTTCTAAATGCATCCGTGTCGAATTAGAAATCATATGAAAACCTATAGAAGATTGTTTTTTTTTTTAAATTAACAAAAGATTATTTCACCTGACTTGACGAAGCAGCCCAACAACGAATTCCCACATGCTCGTCTCGAGCACACCGCCAAGTATAGACAACCAGGGAATTCATAAGCATCGTAGGAATTAACAAAATTTGAGCTCCCATCATGATTAACCCAAACACACGCATTAAATGCCCAAGCATACCTTAAAAGAGTTTCTCTACACGAATTTGTCCTTTCGAAATCTTCTATTTTCTCTCCCCAACTCTTTCCAACACCCTTTTTTACTTTCCTCTCAATGATTTCATTCTAAATCCCGTATGGAAGCTCACATATCGCTTTCGACGATTCTGATACAAGATCGGCGTCTTCGATAGCTACCTAAAAATGAAAAAGGTACAAAAAATGAGGCAAACATCAAAACGAAAGGGTGAAAAAGGAAATGAAAGCCTCATATGGCATAAAAAAAGAATTTGTACTGACTAATACCTCTCCAAGGCTTCGAATTGCACCCTGCGGCTTCCTTTACTGTGCACAACCCGTCTGCTACAGTGCAGGATCGTGATTCTTTGTGGGAGTTTGCAGGAAGCTTCAAAAGGCGAGACGAAATGGGGAGAGGGAGAATTGAGATCATGTGAGAGACGATGCGTAATTTTCGGGGGAGGGGAGGAGTTTGAAGCTCATGTCTCCCTATTCGACCGAATGAAGAGAATAAAAGATGTGAGAGGTGGTGGGGAACATTAAGAGTATGAGAGATTAAGGAATTAGGATAAATAAACATTAATTAAGTCGATAAACTTAAAACTTGTCAATTTTCTATCACTCAATCTGTTAAGAATTCATGCATAGTATTTATATGGAATTGATCGATTCCATGCAGAGAATTTCATAAAAATAATTCGATCGACTTTTAGAGGATTTGGAATTTGAGGTACTTTTAAAATTTATCGAACTTTACCTAATTTCTTGAAATTTGGGCATTATATACAATAACAATAAGCCTTTATCACACTAAGTAGGGTTGGCTACATGAATACTTTTTCTCCATTGTGTCCTATTGAGTGTCATATTTTCATTTAATTCTAATAGATTACAATCATTTTTTTATACAATAAGCCCCAGTCTTTCTAGGTCTACCTCTTTCTAGGTCTACCTCTGTCTTTATATTAACATAAGTTAAATTTAAAACATCTACTCTCCTAACAGGATCATCACCTGGTCGACGTTTAATGCGACCAACTCATTTAAGACAACTCTCTAATCTTGTCCGCCACCGGAACTAAACCAATCCTATCACAAATAAATTTATTTCGCATTTCGCTCTAATTGTCAAGCCACACATCCACCTAAGCATTCTGTTTTATGTTTCTCTTTGTTTTATGTTTCTCTTTTAAATGCCAACATTTGATTTAAAAGATTCATATCATGATTTTTTGACAAATTTCAAGTTAGTTGACGACTACCAAACGCAACTCTCTACTTTTCAAATTTGGGGCATAGGACTTCGCAATGACAGTTTTACAAACAACAAGTTTGGAATGACTAAAATTATTGTTATGAAGGTAAAAACTCATTTTCATCTACTATGTAATTTTCATTATTAATACAAAATCAAGTATGAGATTAGGCATCGTCCAAATGAGATAATCTCCATAACAATAAAGAAGTTTGCTCATCAAGGTTTTTTGTTGATCTATCTACGAAACATTTTCATCTACTATTGATCTATCACAACATAATTCAATGCTTGAAATATTTCATGACAAGAACAGACGGTGAAAAAAAAGCCAGAAGTAGGCCTAAAAAGACTCGGACTTGTTGTATTAAAAAAATGATCTTAATCAATTAGAATTAAATGAAGATATGACACTCAATAAGACACAATGGAGAATAAGGATTCATATAGCTGACCCCACTTAATGGGATAAAGGCTTTATTGTTATTGTTGTTATAGGAACAAACGGTTGGAAAGTGATAATTATTTTTTTTATTTTTTATAATTAACATTTTATCATCCCAAAATGAAAGAGCACTATAAATTAAAAATTAAATTAAATTAATGATAAATTTATTTTAACTCAAGTTGTCCACGTCTTCTAAATACATTCACTTCCCTATTACTCATCTTAAATAAAAGTGTAAATTTGAATAAGTTAATTTAAAGCAATAATGAGTTACAAAAGTCAACAAGTACTGCTACTTATAAAGTACAGTAATAAAACAAAAAAGAAATAATATTCATGTTAGTTAAACATAGAGTAAATCAACGTAGGAGTATTTAACAATTTATACTCTCTAATATGATAATTCAACCTGATTCCTAATATTAGTTGTCTTATCACTTACAAATATATACTTTTTTAATTTATATATAACCTTAATACGAGCACCGTCTAAAAAATTTATCAATTAAGGTACATCAATATCAATAATATTTTTCATTTATATGCACAGGTATATTAAGGTTCCTTGTTAGTAACATAAGAGAGTAAACATCATCATAGTCCATATGCAATAACAAACAAATTATATAGTTCACATTATTTATATACTCATCCCATTCACTTCAATGTACTTTATATATTTTTAAATAATGTGCAATAGTAGATATTGTTAAAAACATTACATTCAAGATGAAAAAACCAATAAATAAAGGTGTGTATAAAGCAGAATAAAGTTTGTGTAAGTATCAATAATTACTAATACAAAATAGTTAAGAAGAACTAAAATACTACCATAGGCTAAAGGAATGAGTACGCAGATCAATATTCTCCAATCTTTATTCCTTAAGATATAACTCCTTCAATTGAACAATTATAATATAAGAAGAATTCCTATTAATAAAATTAATTATGTTTGAATACTCTTTATCTGTTTTAGTTATTTATTGTAATTGATTTATTTATTAATATAATAATTTTTACATATTTAATGATATTTTATTTATTTAATTTACAGCCTATTTAATATATCCTATAAAAATTTTATTTCCTAATTCTTAATTTATATTTGCTAATCATATCCTTGACTTTTAATACATTACTAAAATTATTATTTTTATTATTATAATTATATTTTCTTTCAATTATCATCAATATGTATTTTAGTGCTTTTTTTCCTAATTCATTATTTTGCTAATTTGATATTTAGTATGTTGTCTCAATATATTTATCGTGGTTCTTTTTTTCCAAAGTTGATTTACTATATTTTTCAATTCTTAATAATCTCCCCAAAATGAATATTATGTTTAATAAATTTAATCCTAATTATGATTTTTTTTTATGAATCATTATTTACATTTAAATTCTTCAATATAACATACTTATACATGTAATTATTCTTTAATTATATAGTCTAATTATTACTATTAGTATTTAAATTTAGGCTAAAAATTATACTAATTAAA